TTAATGTTACTATACAAGCACTATTCATTTCAAACAAAATTCATATTATTTGTGTTATATACTAAGTTGCATATTAAATGTTAATAAAATATATATTTTTAACATAGAATATATTAAATATTGTATATTATTTTTTATTTGATAAAAATATATTTTAATATATAATATATTAAATAATAATATAAATTATTTTTTGTAACAAAATAATTTTTGATATAGTATATAATGTTATTAAATTACTAAACAGTAGGTATTTTATATTATTATATATCATATCTATATTATATTATATGTAAATATTAAATTATAATTAATTTACAATTTTATAACACAATATATATTTTATTACATATAAGATATATTATTTCATATTTTTTATTCATAATAAATTATCATATGCTAAATATATTATATATCACATAATAAATGTATACATTATGCGTATACATGTATTTATATACATAACTGGTGGGAATATTTTTGTCTTGGTATATTTAATTTTGTACTTATGGATGTATTAGCTATTTTTTAGATTTATAATTTTAAATTAGATTTTCTAGATTTATGACTTTTACAAATGGAAGCAAGTGTCATGGATTGCTCCCTGTGTCCGAGAGTTCGTGTTCAAGTCATCTACCCTCCCCCTCACCTCTAATCACTAACTTCTAAAATTCTTGTCATGAAAAAATTAAAATAGAAATGAAAAAATAAAAATAAAAAAAAATTTAAAGAATATTATGTACATTTTATAACAAATATATATGTTGTATTTACTATACACTATTATTGTTTTATGTTTTCAAATTTGTGGCAACAACAAGTGTTAATAAATATCATTTCTGCTTTCTATTTTTACTCAAGAAAGCAAAATCGTGTTTTTGCTTTCTTAAAACTGCAAAAATAAAAAACAAAAACGTTACTAAACGTATCCTTGGCTAATGTTTTTGCCTTATATTTTTTGTTTTTGCTAGTGTACTGTAGCAAAGCAAAAGCACGAAGTATGTTTGGTAACATTTGTTGTTATTTGAATAGTACCAAAGCGCTTCCAAAATTAAGGCCAAAATCGGAAGCATCAAAATAATGCTTTTGAAATAACCATTCAAATTTTCAAACTTGCAACACTTTTTACCAAACATGTTTCTACATTTTTGCTTCTAAAAATCTTGTAACAAGTTTTGAAATAGTGCTGAATACACTCTAAAGCGAAAAACTTACTTCTACTTTGGATCAAAACAAAAGTATAAAGTAATTGTGATTACCAAACATGCGCGTGGTTGTGCACATGTGTACTACTCAAAGTGCCTTGGTTGGAACCAAACTTGGATTTTTCAATCAAAGAGAATAAATAATGTCGGAGCATATGGGTCCATAACTATAATCCAGTCAGTGGGCCTAATATTTCCCAACCCAATGAAATGGGAATTTAAGTTCATATACTTTATGGAGGATCTAGTTCTTATAATGGGTCCTATAAAAACTCAAAACCCTCCGGAAAAAAATATTTATTTATTAAGATTATAATTTATGGAATGATATGATCTCTCATATATATATATATATATATATATATATATATATATATATATATATATATATATATATTAAAGGAAAGCATTCAAATTCATCCATAATATACCAAAGATATTATAACCTAGTAATATATTTCCTATTTTTCAAAGTGGGAGGAGATGGTTGAAGTCCCAGCATAAATAAATGGGTGTCTGAATTTCTTGTCAATGAAGAAAAAAAAAAAAAAAAAAATCACCTATAATATGAGGAGTGTGTGAACCTAAGTCACACAAAGCGGATGCGAATGCGAGAGCGCGGGAATGCAAAGTCGACAAAATTTGAGTTGCATATAGTGGAATCAGGAGAAAAAGCGTGCACGAAGCGTGATAGTATGCGGAACATGAAAGCGACATCTGTTTAGAATAATTATGTAATTTAGGTGTGAAAAACTTTTCAAAATAAAAATAGCAAGGAATAGATTTTTTTTTTTTTTTTTCGCAAGCAAAAAAACATATTTATTGATTAGAATCAAAAATTACATCCAAACGAGCTTTATGCAAACAAACTCTGGGAAATTATCATCCCATAAACATGTACTTTTCTCTTTTAAAGCATAAGCAGCAACTGCATGGGCAATGTCATTCCCTGCTCTAGGCGTATATACCAAATCAAAATCAGGGTGATGATGAAGTCATTCACGGATATCTTCTATTAGAAGGCTAAGGAAAAGAGATGAAGACCCATCCAACATCGCAACCTTAACATTGACCTCTGCATCAATCTCAAACACAATACGACTGTAGCCCTAACGAATAACCTTTCAAAGCACCAAACCTTCAGCCACTAACGGATCTGAAACTCTTTGAAAGAAAAAAGATGCCAATCGCAACACCTTTCCCCTATGATCACGCATAACTATTCCACCTCCAGCCTCACATAATACTTTGCAAAATGATGCATCAATATTAACTTTAATCATATTCACTGGAGGAGCTTGCCACCTAACAAGATTCCCATAACTATTTTTCCCTGAACAATGTGATCTCATAGTAGCAAAAGGAGCTACATTACAATTTAAAATTTCAAAACAGTGAGCTTCTTCAATTCTAACTATCTCCATTACATCCCACCATTTTTGCACAAACACCCAAGCATTACGCGCCTTCCAAATCTGCCAACAAAGAAAAACAACCATACTCTTCATCGAGTGCTCCTCACTTAAGCCCGACCAATTCTCCATTTTTGATTGCCACCATCTATCCCACTGTCCATGGCCAACTTCCTACCCATCTAATCTAAGCGTAGAAAACTTCTAAACCAACTTGGCTCTTGGACGCCTATAGAGAAGATGACCAACTGATTCAGGTTCCAACCCACACACTTTACATATAATATCATCCATCATCTTCCTCCTACCCAAACTTTCCAGTACGACTACATCCTCATTTAAACAACGCCAAAGGAAATGTTTAATTTTTAGCATAACCTTCAACTTCCATAGATGTTTCCGCTGTTGTTGACGTTCTTCTATCCCACTTGTTTCACATACACCTCTGTTGGCATGCCGCATCCCAGCTCTTTTTATCTTAAGCGCAACCTGATATGCAGATTTTACACTAAAAAAGCCATTTGCTGAAAAAAGCCACCATTATTTATCCACTCCTTTTGTAACCCGCAATTGGATCTGTAAAATTCTTTTCCAATCTTCTTATTTAAAATTTGGTTTAATCAGGAATTCATTCCATTCTCCTGTATGTTGATCCACCAAATCAACTATTCTGTAAATGCTAGAATTAGAAGGTTCTGGAGTACAAAAAGTATGATATTTTTTTATTAGAAATTCACTTGTCCTCCCAAATTCTAACACTCTGACCATTTGCAATCTTCCATACCAGCCCATTCTCAATCATTTTTCTGGCTGAGAGAAAACTTTGCTAGGCCCATGAAGAATTTGGCTCTGAGAAAATCACAATGAGGAAAATATCTACTTTTATAAACTTGCAAAAACAAACCTTTCTGTTCCACTTGCAGACTCCATGTCACTTTTTAATAGCAAGGAGTAAATGCATTTCACTTTTTATAGAAATGCATATCACTTTGAATTGAAATAACATTATCATCTTTGATTCAATTTTTGAGATGGTATTTATATAATTTAATCCAAACATTTAAAAAGGTACATTTATAGGGTATTGGATTGCATTTATCATTTTTTTTAAAAAAAAAATTACAATCTCGTGTGACTCAACAGCAATTGTAGGAAGTCAATGATCGTTAATGAGTCACTTGGCCAAACAATATGAGAGCACATGCAATTTAAATACAGTAATATTTTATGGTACCGCAACTAATAATAATAGTCAGAAAAAACAAAAGCCCTTACTTTTTCCATTCTTGATTATTTTTTGTCGCTAAGATTGATCTATTTATTTTTTTTTTTTTCCAGCACTGTTAATGTCGGTGCATTATGTTTGATACAAACAGCACAAAAGAATATTCACATTTAAGCCATGATTAACAATTATCATATAAAATAAAGTAAAAAATTATTCAAACGTATACTAATATAAGTCAATATATATAAGTCAATTATAAACTTTTTTGCGTTCTTTCAAAATGGTTGATCTTTTTTTGGAATTTCATAAATTGAAAAGGGATTCTTCTTTCCATTAAACGATCACCGGTGGTTTGAGATTAAATTTTCTTATTAATAAATAAAATTTTCTTTTATCTTCTATTGAAAAATTATAAATTTTTGTCTTAGAAAAAAAGTCGATATTGAAACATGTATCGAAATAGATACCAACAGTAATAAAAATACTAAGACCGGCACTTAGAATTATCAAATAATTCATCGAAGTGATAAGAAAGATCTTTTTTACCTTCCGATTCATCAAGATCCCGAAAGCAATCAACCTAACCAAACCAAAACCTTCGGTTTTTCCTCTTCCTCTATCCCTAGCCTATATGTACAGTGTTTGAATCAACAGAGGTCTTTTTGAACTTGTCACAAAAATATATATTTAAATATTTATAACTGATAAAAAATACTAAAAAAATATAAATAAAAAATTGATATGTTAGTGTCATCCAACGAAATTGTCCAATAAAAGAGCTCTATTTATTTCATTTACAAAAACATAGAATAGGCTGTAATTTTCAAAATCCCAAAAGTGGTTATAGTAATTTGAATTTTTAAGAGTAAATTAAGTAATACATAATTTAAAAATAAAAAAATGAAAACGCCAATGAAGATGAGAGAGTCACTTTGATTTTTTTGATAAATAAAACACAACTATTTGAATTTTTAATAAATAAAACACATCTATTTTGAACAATTTAGCCATTTAGATTTGAACCACTCAAGAGTCGAATTGTCAATAATTTAAATGATAGTAGTGCTTCAATAAATCACCATAATAGAAAAAAAAAAAAAAAAAAAAAAAAAAATTTATTTACATAGAAAGAAATAAAAACCAGTCATTCTAAAATTCACAGAAAAGAATAGGCATTATTCATTTATTTTATATACAGGGACTCATACAATATCCACGTGTCAACACCGGAGTCCTGTATCGCCAAAATAATCAACACTCAAATCCACCACCCTATGCCACTATGTCAAACCCAATATAGAAAAAAATGAACAAACACATTAAAAAAAAAAAAAAAAACTACTCAGAACCGAACGATGAACAAAACAAATCTCAGCCGTCCACGAAATCACAGATCTACAGTCTGTAGGCCTCCACGTTGACAAACACGTGTCTCTACATCAAAGTCACAGCAAGAAATGTTCCAGTGAGGGCAGTCCCAGCGATGACTGCTCTGTTCACCCACCCATCGACCGACACACCACTCGGCGGCGGAGGAGGCTCAGATGCGGGGCCACCCGCCGGACCGGGGACCTCAGCAGGCGGTGCTGGCGGCGAAGCGATGCTTGGAGCCGGAGAAGGGGTTGTGGACGGGGACAGAGAGGGAGTGGTTGTTGGGGTTGGTGAGGGAGATGGAGTCGACGGAGCCGGTGATGGAACCGCCGTTGGCGTTGGCGTTGGCGTTGGCGACGGCGAAGGTGAAGGTGGGGCTTTCATCGGTGACGGTGTAGGTGTGGCGGTGGGTGACACCGTCGGGGTGGGTGTGGGTGCTTGAGCAATACATGAGGTGGTGAATAGAGCCAGCAAAATGAAAAGTTTGATACCGGAGGAACCCATTTCTAGAGAGAGAGAGAAATACTTTTAGAGAGAGAGAAAGTAGGAGTGTTTGGGCAGAAGGGTGACTGTAAAGGGGGTTTATAAAAGGAGGAGAGGGAGAGAGAAAGTGGAGGTTGAGAAAGAGCGATTAATCAATAATTTCAGATTCTCGAATCATTAGATATAGAATATATATAGGCGAATTATTCATGAATGGGGCGGTGTTTGGAAAGGGTTTTATTACTTTCTCTCTATTTCTTGGAAGTTTCTTCCAAGTTCAAACAGGGTATTAGAAACAGAATATTATGGGCAAATATGACATTTTACGCAAATTTTAAGGTCATTTTGAAACTGTTTATACGATGTGTTCTTCGTTACTCGTCAATTAATATTAAATCAGGTAAGGTGTGGCGGCGTTCCGAGCAGTAAAGAGTCGGCCTTAATTGCCCTTCACCTCATGATTCTATTTTGAATCTTTTTTTCCCTAATTCGTACTAATTTCTAACTCTCTAATCATTGTTAACTAAATAAAAATTAAATAACGTTTCAGCAAATTACATATGATCTAAATTTGATATTTTGTGTGCAGAAGAAAAAATAAAAAATAAAAAATAAAAAAATAAAAAATAAAAAAAAAAGCATTGTCAACCCCAAAGGGTATACTCTGCGACTTACCCACGCCTCCCTTCCTGAATTCTTGAGGATTAATCTGGGTGAAACTGTTAACCTATAAAATATTTAAAAAGTTAGTTATCAGTATTGGCATGATATTATACTACATTTTATATAAAATAAGGGCAAAATTTATTCAACCGGTCTAGTGGAAAGAAAACGTCAAGTTAGTACTTACACACACATGTCTCTTCTGAGACTTAAATTATACCCTCCATTTGAAAAATAAAGTTAGTACTTATACACACATGTCTTTTCTAAGACTTGAATCATAACCTCCATTTAAAAAGTAAGAGGCTGATATTGTTAGGCCACTGGCCGTTGGTATAAAATATTTTTTTAAGAAATGATTTTCCTTTTTCAAGTAAAACATTTATTTATTTATTTTTTGGTATTCGGCAAAAGTTTAGGTTGAAGGTGGGATTAACGTATAAAATAACTTTTTAAAAATTAATGAATAAGTTATTTTTATTAAGTTTTAATATATATATATATATATATATATATATATATATATATATTTTCTAAATATTTTATGACAACCAAATACTAAAAATTTTTAAAAAAATTTACATCCAAACGGAGCCTTGTTATTTACAATTTTTCTTTAGTTTTGTATTACAAAGTCAGCAGTCTCGGAATTATCCTCCTAAACTTATAATTTACTTATAATTTAAACAAACATGAAGAAATGTCAGTCTAATTTAAGGGAAGATGAGTCACTATTCAGTAATTTGCTGGAATTGTTAGAAAAAAGTGTGTGCACCCTTAATACTCCTACTGGACATTCTAATTTACGTAAATGCCATCTTACTTGAACATGTGATCAATGGCTCAATAGTCAGTAAAATGTCTTAATCTACTCTGCTGGTTTTGATGTATAATTATATATATATATATATATATATATATAACATGTTAATATAATATTGCTGAATTTCTTCCTCACAGTCTGTCCTCCGCGTTAACCTTTCCAACAACTCCTTGCGTGGTCGGTGTATTTCCAGGAATGCCCTTCTAATATTTTATTTACAGCCCATCTTTGCGTGATCGTTAGTTAGACTACCATCTTTGATGCGTGAATCAGCGTTGTGGTTACACGTAGTGCACAGATGAATTCGTGAAATATAAGTAAAAGAAAATTTTAAGATAAATTGTCACCGGGACGTTGCAGATTTGGTGGGTGGGGAGTTTCCAAGTGCTTAACACCCATATCTAATATTTTGGTTATTCGGTGAGGAGTTTTCCTCTAACTTTGTAAGTTTTTGATTTAAAATGCTTATTGTATTGTGAGTCGGGGTGAATAGCCTAAAATTTACATGGTAATTACAAATTCAAAAAGGAGTAGTTGCAAGGGTAATCCATGTACAATTTATTCAAATATCAAAGGAGGTCCAGTTCACCCTAATAACATTTTTGTACAAGGGAAGATTTATTATTATTATTTCTTAATTAATATTTACATATAACCTCACAAGAAATTATTTGTACCTAAAAGGAGTCGAACCTTAGACATGAGTTTGGTTCATTAAGGACACGCGACAAATCTCATGGGAGATCAAAGTAATAAAAGATAAAAAGATAAACCTGTGTTTAATTTACCTAAATCTCACGAGAGCTCAATGTAATTTATTCAAAATATTAATCCAAATGTATAATGGGTTACTTGCTTTATTCCATTTTAATAATTAATTTTTAATATTATAACTTTTTAAGAAAACATTCAATTAATGCATTATTCTTTTTTAAAAATTTCTAAATTATACCTTAGTGTTGAAATGTATATAAATTATACATTTGATTTTTTTTTTTTTTAAATAAAAAAAAAACTTTGAAGGGTATTTAATTATGTAATTACTCTCACCCTATCCAGACACAATAATGTTCGTTTTTGGCTCCCCAGACTAATGAGGTCACCAATTCTAATACTACTACAAGTTAAGTATACTAACTTCAAAATTCTTATATATTCAAAGCCATTGCAATTTATTGCGATTTTAAAACATGTTGTGTTATATCAGGGTGTTGAACCTTAAATATAATATTTTATCTTTTTCAGGCAATGTAGGATCATAATATCCTATAACCTACCGGTATAATAGTTCGTCTAGTGTCTCCAACCGGCCGGGGTGGTCACAATTTATATACAAAAGAGCGATGCTACACGACCCGACCACTATTTACCCCGAAAAAAACTGACTGCATAGGTGACTGTCCAACGTGGCAATTTTCCTACTTGTTTTTTTTGTTGAACCGGATGTCCCTTCTCTCTCCCTCCTCTCTCTCTCTAACAATCGGCGACGAACCTATCTTTCCGGCTAAAATTTCGTGACCACCGGTAAACCCATCCTCTCTCTCTGCAAACTACAAAATTTGTAAGAATCAAACTCACATCTTTCATTCTCCCTCGTCTGTTGTTCACTAGCTCCAGCCGCCATCCACAGCCGATTAAGCTTGCCCATCTCCAGCTGCTCCTCACCGGTGCAGCGAACTGTCCGAACGATCTAGCTGGGCACCGCCGCCGCAAGCATACCGCGCTGTAAGTCCAAGACCCGGATCTGTTTTGCTGGCTCTCCATGACCGGATTGGACCCAGCCATCTCCGTCTTCGCCGGCGCCGCCATCAACATCCTCACAGGAAGTTTCTACCGTTGTCCAAAGCCCACACTCACTGCCATCACGCCGCCGCGAGTCACAATCGGTGCAGCACCACAGCCCATCTCTTGCTCGCCGCCGCCGCGTCCATCACGACAAGATCGACATCTTCGGATCTTTATCGCCGACCCAACTATTCTGTGAAACCAGAAGGATCATCTCACTTCATCGCTGACGGGATAATCTCACTTCATCGCGGCATCGCTATCATCTCACTTCGTCGCCGGAATTGTGTTGGTCTCATTTGGTTTGGGTAGCAAAGGCGGAACTGGATCTACCGTGGTGGAGCTGAGTTCGGTCCTCGGCCATGATGGTTTGATGGTTTCGATACAATCAAGGTTGGCGAGTCTAAGTATGGAGAAGAAAGCAGATCAGCGACGGGGACGCCGACGATGGAGAAGACAAGCACCGGGCGGAGGCTTATGGTTGCCGACAGTGAAATCCCGGCGATGATGAACTTGGAAGAATTGGGTCTTCACAAGAAAGCAAAATAAACTTGTGATTAATTGAGAGAGAAGGGAAGGAGAAGGGAACGTCCGAGAGAGATGAATGATTTTCTACCGGAGAGAGAAGGGAGAAAGAGGATTGAAAGAGAGATAAGAGAAAGTAAAGTTGCGTAGAGAAAGGGAAAATCGTCTGCCCAGTTGTACCAATCTGCATTTGACAAATGTGTGTCGGCTTATATCGGGTGAACAGTAATCGGGTCTTTTAGCATTTCTTTATACAAAATGCTATTATCTTACTGTTATTTTTCAAATCTGATAAGTATTTTGTAAAGTAATAGCAAAAAAAAAAACAAGGATAAAGTACAGTCACACCCCCTGAGGTTTGGCACAAGGACAGTCAGATGAAACTTATTTGTTTTTTGGACAAATACACCCCCTGAAGGTTCAAAAATGGACAAAGACACCCTTTTACATGAGAAATTGACCAAATTATCCTTTGACCATTTATGAGACTTTTTTAACTTTACAATTTAATAAATTCGACCAATCTACCCTCGGGAACAATTTATGCATAAAAAAAAGTAACCAAAAAAAAAAAAAAACATTTATATTGTTCACTTTTCTTTTGTTATTTACTTTATAAATGTCCCAACTTCTTAAAAATGTAGACGTCTAAAATAATTATTTGATCCAATATATATATTTCAAATAAATTATATTTTGTTATTACTTTTTTTCTTTTTCTTTTTTATTTTTAAATTAAGATGCTTAATTCTTTCATTTAAAAAAATTAAACTAATCTCTTTTCCTTAAAAATAAAAAATATGATACCAGTATAACTTTATGCATCTTAAATTATATATTAAATATTATACATTTCCCAACATAAAAGGAAAAAAAAATAATAATAAAACAAAGGGAAAAAAATAATAATAAAACAAAGGGGAAAAAATAATAATAAAACAAAGGGGAAAAAAAAAAAAATCAAAGGCATGCATAAAGTTAAGATGCATAAAATTGTACTGGTACCTATTTTCTTTTATATTGGAAAATGCATAATATTTGATGTATAATTTAAGATGCATAAAGTTATACTAGTATCATATTTTTTATTTTTAAGGAAAAGAGATTGGTTTAATTTTTTTAGATGAAATGATTAAACATCTTAATTTAAAAATAAAAAAGAAAAAGAAAAGAAGTAAGAACAAAATATAATTTATTTAAAATAAATGTATTGAATCAAAAAATCATTTTAGACGTCTACATTTTTAAGAAGTTGGGACATTTATGAAGTAAATAACAAACAAAAAAAAAAAGTGAACAATATAAAGTTTTTTTTTTTTTTGGTTACTTTTTTTTTTTTTTTAATGTATAAATTGTTCATGAATATAGATTGGTCTAAT